AAAAGGTTGATTGAGTTCCTTATTACTCATTAAAAATCGGAGCAGCTGTTCCGGATGTGAACAACGTAGTGTGGTAGCGCTTGATTTCATAGTTTTGTCGGTTAAGCCGTGTATGATGCAATCAACAGCACGCTTTCCTTCAATGTCGCATTGGTTCAAAAGTGCCAGTTTCTCATAATAATATACTTCAATAGGTTCGTTATACTTGCTCTCTCGTTTCAACATATCTTCCAGAGCTTGACCATAGTTATATTCATGTGGAAAAGCATTTATTAACTTCTCCTGCCACTCATTCCAATTAAAAAGAATTGAGGGTAAACTCTCGTACCAGGTCTTGGCCAAACCCTGGAGTTTTTGCATGGCGTAATGGATTGTTGTTTGTCGTCCCAACCGTAGACTGTCGCGCACTCGTTTACTTTATTTAACCACATATCTATTCGTTGATTTTTCGACGATGGATCAAAATCAGGTAAAATATTTTTATAGCTACTTGAATGAATAGGTGCAACCGTGGCCGACGTCGACGGCTGTGACTAAGTCTTTAAGTGATTTTAGAATATTAGCTACGTCTTTAGTCGAGAACGAACGACTAGAAGATCGTTGACCATTTTCTTGAATACGCCTTCTCTTGGAGCGGTCATCCACCCCACGGTCGAGTGTTCTACTTCTAGAAGGAACACCACGCCCAGTGGTTGCATCACGCCCAGAAATATAGGAATCTTGACGCGTGAAATCGTGATGTTTACTTACGCTGCGTAGCCTTTTACTACGCTCCATAATCAGGTTGTTCTGGAGATTTTGTAGCCGCTCCCGTTCGCGAGCTAGCTCACGTTCTACTGCTCGGCGTCGCTCGCGTTCGTGAAGACTCCCAATGCTGTCGCATCGCGTGCGACTACGGCTGCTTCTGGCCCTATCATCAGCCCTGCGTCGTCTGGACTCCCCACGACCCGGAGTCTCCAGGCGTCGAGGTTGCGATTTGTCTTCCCTCTGCATTTTTCTGTAACTTGGAAACGAAATCAAAAATGAATACATTCAATAACTTGTAACATTTATCAAGTGGGTATCTCGAAAACGACTTATGCCATCTTAAAAATAACGAAATTTTTGCGTCCCCTTGTACCCCAGCACTATAGTGATATCTAGTAATGGATAATCTTACTTGGTGCTTGAGATATCATATTAGGTGGCGCCATTCTCATTAAATTGCCAATTTAACCTATGATTAATATTTTATTGTTAAGTTACGATAAGAAAGAGTACAAACATGTTCCCTTTATTTTATTTACGTGCAATATTGTAACCTTTGCATATCTGAGTAGAAATTAGAATACGAAAATATAAGAAGTACTGCATCACCCTATAGTAAGTAATTACTTAAACAAGAGAGCAAATAACTAGAACCTTGATAACTTAATACCTACTATAAATTTATAAAATTTTGTGTCCACTCGGAGTCCAAAACCTATTTTACTTATAATACGAACCCTCTTTCACTTAAATGACTAATTTGGGCGTCGTACCTCAGTAACTCAAAGTTGTAACGAAGACGACCTTTGCAACTTCAATAATCTATCAATAAGTCATTTTAAATGACTGTGCGAACGACCAAAGTCTTTAAATCATTGTTATTGCATATACGCGTTTACCGAATGGCTTAAAATGTAAATAATACAAGTCTTTAGTGTATTGCTTACATTTACACTTAATACCTAAACAGAGCTTATAAGCGAACCTCTGTAGGTACAAACGTGAAGCATTAAAAACTCCTTAACTTCAACCCACAGTAAGTAAAAACCTCGAATAACTCAAATTATTTAACGTTTTCCTTGGTCTTTATCTTATCCAAGATTTACCGTATATAATTTACAACTATTATTTACATAATTTTCCAAGAGATTTTAGCAATTTTAAAGCCTAAGGACTTTTCTTTTTTTTAACTTAGAAACAGTTTAGTATAAGTAACAAAGGTAGGTATAACAAAAGAAACGGGTACTTACCACTTCTGAAATATAATAAAACACTCTCCGATTACTGCTCACACTTTTATTCTGCTCTGAGGCTTAGGTTTAAACTATAATTTACACTTATTTTCTCTTATCCTATGCTTAGTAATCGACACAACCGTCTTTCTCCGCTCCTCCTTGCTTAATGCCGTCTTTGCTTCGTGCAACTGACCACATCCCCTCCCTTACTAAAAGTGTTGCCATTCTAATAAAATGAATTTACCAATAAAAAGTCAATTGCTTCAATAAACTATATTAAACGAACTTTATTCTTATTAAATTAACTAAGTGAAAACCTAACACTACCGACAGGTATATGCTACACTGCAGTCTTCTTTTACTCCTGAACAACATGGCTTTTTAAGGCAGAGGTCGACTGTATCAAACCTTTTAATTTTTAATGAATACACCTCTTCACAAATGGATTCAGGGCTACAGGTCGATTGTATTTTTACTGATTTTAGAAAAGCTTTTGATCGTATAGATCACTTGCTCCTTGAGAAACTGTACAAAGCCGGTATACATGGTAATTTATTTAGATGGTTTTCTTCTTACATCAGTAATAGATCCCAGGCGATTGCAATAAATGGTTTTACTTCTGCATGGATAACAATTCCTTCTGGCGTGCCTCAAGGCTCTTTATTAGTGCCTTTGATTTTTGTTATATTCATTAACGACATTGCGTTATGTTTCAAACATGCCACAGTCTTATTATACGCAGACGACACTAAGATCTTTATGGCCACTAACAGCTCTGGTGACTGTGCAATACTGTACTCAAAATATGCTTGGTTTAAATGTTTCCAAGAGTTTTGCTATGACCTTTTCTCGTAAATCTAATTATCAGTATAAAATCAATAATAAGTCACTTAACAAAGTTACATCTATGAAAGACCTGGATCTCATTCAAGATTCTAAACTCTTATTTGATAAGCACATTGATTACGTAGTGAAAAAGGCCTCCAAGTCTCTTGGTTTCATTATAAGGTCTACATACGAATTTAAATCTATTAAACCGAAAACCGATTAAAGTACTTTATTGTGCTTATGTGCGCAGTATCCTTGAGTATGCCTCTGTGGTCTGGAATCCACAATATAACGTGTATACTTCCCGTATTGAGTCCCGTATTGAGTAAGCAATTGGACCATGGTTATGAAACGAGATGCAATAGATACCACTTCTTACCTTTAGAAAAAAGACGGCAACTCTTCCGTATTACGTATCTATTAAAAATTGTCGGAAGCATCATTGATTGTCCTGCTTTGCTGGAAAAGGTAAGCATCTGGGTTCCGCGCAGATTACCAACTAGACGTACTCAGCCACTAGCTATTCCTAGAGTCAATACTAACTACAGCCGCAATTCATTTATTATTCGTGCGAGTAACTTTTTTATCAAACTGTCAATAAATAACGGCGAATTAGAACTATTCCGTAGCAAGCCTCATAATGTAAGTAGGTTGTTTGCTTTGGAGTTCTTTGGCCCCTGCGCCGAGGGTGCAACAAATTCTTAAATACTCTTAAATTTTGAAAACACTCCTTATCTTCGGGGATTTACTTTGTTTATTGTTATTGTCTACATGGCCTCTTTACATTTAAATAACCATATGAGAATACCTGTAAATGACTTTGTCGGAATGTCCAATTTGTGTTCATGTAACGTTTATATTAAGGATGGGCCGAATATGGATTTCACCGAATACGAATATTCGGCCGAACGTTCGGTAAAATTTTTACCGAACCGAATATTCGGCCGAACATTATTCGGCAGGATTACCTCGGTATTCCTAACCACAAACTTAAGACAGATAAATTATGTCGAAACTTGTTACCGTAAAGCGCAAAGGATTAGCGTCAGAGCCTTCCCCTTGCTCCCCCGCCACACCTGACATGTTATTGCATCATCCAGTACTGAGCAAATTGCCGGCACATACTTCTGTTTTGACTATTTTTGTGAAAAAAATGTATTCTTAGTGAAAATTGATCAGGAGATCTACTATTTGGACCAATTTTAGAGAAACTGACGACTGTAATGTAATGTTTCTTTGATTCCAAACAAAACTTTATCAAGCCCTCTGTTTGCTATAATTGGAAATAAATCTACAGTGCCTCAAAAAGATAACGCTACACAAGTAGATTTAACCCATAAATAAATATACTTCCAACTGTAAAATTATAAAAGACATGGCATTACTCAATTCGTACATTTTCATACAGTGGATACTTTGAGTACCACTTTAACGAATTTTCGGTGATTTAGCCGAATATTCGGCCGAATACGAATATTCGGTTAACTTGTCGAATATGCCGAATACCGAATATAAAACGAATATTCGGCCCACCTCTAGTTTATATGCTGTTGGTGTTCCAAATAAAATAAAATAAATAATAAATAAAATATATAGAACATCTCCGAACTATCACAAGGAGCGTTGGCCGCTCCCCGAGCAGAACCCCTTGCCTGGCGGGAGATCTCCCCTTTTCCTTCCACGGCCACAATGGTCTCCTTCCGGGCAATCTTGTGATAGTTCGGAGATGTTCTATAATACACTGTTTATGATTCGGAATTTTGATAGCGTGATTTAGGCTTTGGGGGGGGGGGTTTTGGGCGGTGTGTTTCGCTTGCGGTGCGACGACAGCGCCGCCACAAGGTCAACCCCAATGGCATGGCATTTGCGTAGCAAACACATGGTTTCTGTTGCGTAGACGTAGATGAAAGCCCTTTAAAAAGGCGCAACTTGGAAAAGGGGGTTTTTCTTACGCAGTAAGCAACTGGAGATATTGGTAGTCGTGAATGAGTGTATGAACGTTCCCATGAAAAATGGAGGTTTTCGGTAGTCGGAGAATGCCAGATCCGAAAATTTTCCGGAGATGTTCAATAACTACGTTTTTAGTGTATTCATGTCGATTACAAAATATCTATCTAAGTTTGGAGAACCTTCCGGTATCATTTCATTATTTTATATATCAAATATTGACCTTAAAATACGTCTTTCCAGATTACCAAAAAGTTGTTCTGTTGGACAACTGTTAGACGCGTGGGAGATGAGCGTGCGACAAGCCTGTGCCCCCAGCCCGGTCTCCTATACGCCCGTGCCCGCACTCGGCCTGTGAATTCCAAGCGAAAGTAGGTGTTATCCTAACTTGTTAAGGTCGCAATTTGCGTTAGCGGACTCAACGTTCGCTCTTTCGTTTTCGAGAAAATTAATCTGGTAAGCTATTTTGGACTTAATGTTTTGGAGTTTACTGTAGAAATCTGAACATAAAGACTCCGTTTATTGTCGTCGTTGACGTGTTTGTCTTTGAAACTGGTGAAAAATTCTGTTACGAATACGATATTCTGCTTAATATTTTTGTCAAGTAATATGTCTAGTTCATGGCAAATATGGATTTGAGATTATGCAACATATTTGAGATGTAAAGTCCCTTCGGTGAAAGCTGATAATTATTACGAAAATGTCACTGGCTGTCGCTGAAGTATACCGATTTGTATGACTGGCTTCGCTTATCATTACAAGCACAGAGTTTCGTGGTACGTAACTAGCAGCCAAATAATTAGCAGGCCGTAAATTGTTATGAGTTAAGAAATTTGGCTTTTTTATTAACTTTCGCCGAACAGAACATACAAGCTCACAGTTTAAAAATGTGCGCATATTATGAACTTTTCACCCTTGAATAGTGGACAGCTACTTAAAAATGGTTGGTGAGATTTACTTTGTTATTGTACCTTACTTTTCAACAGTCTTCCATTATTTTATACGGCATTGCTCGCAATCTCATTTACAGTTCTTCTAAATGTATTTAATGATGAATTGATTTGCAATATTAAATAGCTAATAAGTCTTTTTATTAAGATACAATAAACTAGTTATTTTAGAAGTATATTGGAATATACCATGCCATGAAGCAGCGAATGTCTCGGACTAAACCATTTGTTAAGTGAAATGAAACAGTGTTGCCAGATATTACAAATATTTTATTAACTATAAAACTGATATACTCAATAAAACTTGTAACAAAGGTGTTTGCTATTGTATGTAATTCGTACACTAAGTACCTACCCTGCCTGTGTAGTTGCAGATTGACATAGAAAAAATCACATATTTCTTTTTACTAAAATAATTTTTTAGCAAAGTATTATTCGTTATTGACATCCCATTGAACCTTTTAAATTACTAAAAGACGTTTTCACGATTTATCAATTTTGAAATTTAATTTAAATTACTCTGGATAGTACGTCGGATTTCAGAGAAATTGCAACTAAAGCTCCTGTGATTTTGAGACAGTCATTAAGCAGTTTAGACAAGTGTTATGGGGAAGTATTGAGGAAGAGGTATTGACAAGTCTCGCTTGGTAAATAGCAGGTTTGTACATCATTTTGTGTAATAATATAACTCTGCAGCTTCTTTACTTTACTATCTCCTATATTGTTGGACTACTTCCCCCGGTTCTAACGTTGTTTGGTTGTATGAACATAATTGACATGTTAGAGGATCCACATTCGTTCCTACGGCACAAACTTACCCAGTTTTTTATTTTTCCTGATGTTATGCAAACAGATCGACATCCTTTTATTGCTCATGCTAAAACCTGCTGTTAACTCTATCGTAGGTTTGAGTGAATTATAAATGATGAATCCTAAAATAGATTTCAATTCGTTATTATTCCATTATATTTTGATATTATCGACTTCAGCCTCTATTTGTCCATGAGGCTTGTTGTTGAGTTGGACATTTTCATAACGGTCAAACTAAAAACACAATCATGAGCTCATTAGATCCTAGTTCATATACCTCATTTATATTTGTTGCCTGTGGTGCAGCATTAGTGCCATGTCGGCACTAGTATTTTTAAATGAGGTTTGAAAACAAACTTAAAAAAATATATTCATAGTCGCAGATACGGTAATTAAAAAGAAAAGTAAACTGCGAAAACTTAAATGAACAACTGAATTTGAAAAGCAATATCAATCGCTTTAACATGACTTCAATTTAAATTTGGAATTCCAAAATATCGAACTGTTACTAGTCAGTTTTTTAATAATTAAAAAATACAATTAGATTACTTTGTAAAAGATGATGCATTAAATTAATAATGGACTTTGTAGGTGTAATTTAAAAAAAAAACATAATATTTTGACTTCCTAATTAGTAGATGGTGCCAACCATTTACTAGCGTAGTTTTGCATGTGAAAGTCACATATCTAATAAGCAATAAGATTCAATGATGAATATTGGTATAAGAAACTCAGGGTCAATAACAATATAGAAACGTATAGAATCCAAGAGGCTAAGTATGTTTACCTGATTTCACACACAAAAAAAGGTTTGCTATATGGCAGATGGGTGTCAAGAATAAATTTAATACGCCAGAAGTTTTGATTCTAAGTTTACAAGTAAGGTGTATTTGAAACCTGTCGCCTTTGATACCAATCATTTTCGTGATTACCATGTTCCGTTGAACTTTTGTTGCAGAGGCAGCAAGGTTTACTTTTAATATTATTATTATTTACTATGGTGCTAATTTTCAGTTTTTTTTTTTATATTTCAATTTATATTTTTATCAAAGTAAAGAGTTGTGTAATCTTACAAACCAAACGAACGCAGTAACAAGCATGCATACTTCTTGTTTTAAAAAAATATTATACGAGATTTCCACAGGGTTCTTTTAATAATCATTTGTCACAGATCTTGATTTAAACTGCATTTTCTGCCTTTGTATTGAGTGACCTAAGAAATGATTTTGGTAAGATTGTCGTCTTTGATTGTTAAACTTTTCTAACTTACTATATTTATGCTGTTTTTGGTTTGGTTTGAAGAATAAAAAAAAGTTATGTATTTGGTTACATTATTTTTTTCCCTTGCAAGACAATGGGATCTTGGATCATACCAGCAGTATGTGATCAAAATTCTCTCGAAATGCGAATGGTAAGGTAATAAACATTAGAAAACGGCACTTTATTTTCGATGTTCAAGTAACATTGATCTAATTTTTATTTATTACCTACTTTGACTTCTTTATTTCTATATGATTCATAACCAGACCTAAAAAGCAATATTTTGTTTCACAAAAATCTTTGACTTGGTTTCAAACGCAACAACTGCTCTACTGTCAAATTCTCTGTAAAATTGTTAAGAGAACTTAGTAGTATATGTATATAGGTAATATATACATATACAGGGTTATTTTTCAGAGTAGCCAAATTTTAAACAGTTCAAATATTATAATATAAATAATGATATACCATTATTGCAGTTTTTGAAATACGAGTAAATAAGGCTTCTATTTTTATTTTAAAATATCCCAAATTGAATATGATTTATTGGCAACAAAGTTTTTGCCTAACTATTGACCCTTACAAATGTAACAATATAATGCATTACCACGCATTTTGAAGTTAAAAGATAAGAAGGACATATTGTTTGAGATTTTTTAAATTAACTTTTCTTTACCATTTGCCTATATAACTTATTCTGAACCTTCTCTGCAAAATTGATCGGTTATTGTAGAATAACCTGTATAATGAGATTTGGATTTTGTCTCATTATGGAGTACATAGAAATTTGTACGAAATTGTAGGTTTAAGTGACAAATTTTATTATATTATAAATTTAAGTAAATATTTTTATTGTGAAATTATTTTATAGTTATAATGTAATACTTTAAGGGATCCTCTGAATGAGTGTCAATTTGTATTACAAATAAAATATACGATAAACTTTCTTTGCAGATGTGATATTTTGTCTGTGATAAGTTGATACATTTTTTAAACATTTCTTGAATTAATCTTGATTAAAAATATTTTTTAATTTATCAAGATGTTTTAATTTATATTATTAGTGTCCGATTTTGCCACAACGATTAAACTTTTTTATTCATTGTTAAACAATTGGCTAGCTTTGATCGTCGAGTCATAATAAATATAACAGATTAATAGTAGGCAGTATGCATTTATGATATATTTGTAATACATCTTTATGTATAATAGTGTTGAGTAGTCAAAGAGCAGAACACTTTTTTTATAGAATAAGGATGACAAACAAACATACAGTCTACCTGATGGTAATTTGATACTGTGGTCTATGGACATCCACATCTATCCTTGATTAAGAATCAACATGCAGATTCGTTGTCACCCCTGAGGACTATCATAGAACGCATCCAGTAAAAACGGGTCTCCGGTTCTCTACACTCATGCAAAAACCAGCGGCATTAAGATGCTATTTTGCGTTTGTATTCTGTGAGAGAATGGCTCATGCAATTAAGGAATTCTTTCGATGAAACTTGTCGGTTTCTCATAGATGTTTTCCTTAGTGACTATTACACGAAGATGATTCGGTATTTTTGTAATGTGTAGTTGTTCGCAATCATCTGTTACGAATGCTGCCACTCTAAAAACTTTCTTCCCCATCGGTGTTGAATATGGCCGTTCCATTGTCTAATACTGTGGTGCATGTAGTTCTACTGCGGATATCCTAGTGTCTACTTAGTGCTTTAGTTTTCCAAAATTACCAATTCAGAAAAATAAGAATAAATACGTAGAATGGAGCAAAATAATAAAATTTTAATTATGCTTGTGCGATAAATAATTGTTATAAGCAAATTAGTAATTTAAGTAGGCGGGCTTCTGCGATATGAGCATGTACTAGATTTTGCTGATAAACCGACAATTTTTACTACAGCTCACGTACTAAAATAATACATTTATTAACATTTGATATTTTATTGTAAATAAATGTTGATGATATTTTTATTTATTCACTCAATGAATGACGTGACCTTTATAATATTTTTTCCTTTCAAAAATAACGGAAAATCCTCCGTGTATATTTTATTTTTACACAATAAAAATAATTATGAATAATAATTAATAAAGAACCTTTAAAACCGTTGTTTTTGTCCCTTATTCCTAACATGTTACTTTAAGTTTTAAGCGTTAAAGAACATAATACAAATTACGATTTATTCGTATAGCGTATTGCATTGTATTAAGGAACCTCTATGATTAAGAGCTTGTTTACTGCTTACGTTTTAAAATGTCACGTGATTTTGGAAACAGGTTCTTTTTAAAAGCTAAAACGTTATTATCATTCCTGTTAGGAAATTTTCCGCAACTACAGCACTACTTATGTAGATTTTTTTGACTGCTTATTTAAACCTTCTTTTTTTTAAACATACATACAATATAAAGTACCTTTACATCAATCCAATCTATGCAAACCAATGAAAATGTTTATGTTTTTAAAGTGGAAAAGTTCAGAAAAATTAATTATGATGTAATAAAATTATTTGCAGTATTGAATGCATGGGAGATTGAACAAAGCAAATAATGTAATTTCATGTTCCGGGTGTGTTTTTTTTTAATTTTTTGTTTAATTTCATCTCTATCTCTAGGGAATTTGTAAGAATATCATGGATTGCGTAATATGAAAATAATAAAATATATAATTAAATATTTAGTATTTACGTCATATTTTGTTACTATATATTATGTAATAATTTTTTAAGTAGTGGCAGAGATTTGTTAAGGTGCCTATTTTTATCTCGTCGAATCTCGTTAGTACAAATAAAGCTGTAATTTTTTTGTATTAAAAAATGTGTATTTTAAAATAATTGCCGAGAAATGTGCAGGTCTTGTAACAGTTATTAAAAATATAATTTAATTACATCTAACTACATCCAATCAGCTATTGTTGACTTCTTTACAGCTTTGCGTTTTCACGAACATTAACGATAAAAATCAACAATAATAAGTCAATTTCCGTAACTGTTTATGAACTGTTTACGAAAAATGAATGGACAATTATATTTTTGTAATTATGTATAATTTATATATATATATATATATATATATATATATATATATATATATATATATATATATATATATATATATATATATATATATATGCTCGAGTACTTTTAGATGTCATAGTATTTATTTTTAGAATTATTTGTTTTAACAATCTAAATTAGCGGGTTCCATTCCCTGAGCATTAGTTTTCTAACGTACCGAGTTTGTACCGCCATCGAGTAACTTTGTATGACAAAACATAGTTACATTTACGACCGCCAGGGGCGCATACATACAAGTTTAGTCGATGACTATACGAAAACGTTGAGTGTCGAACATTTGTGATCGGGGTACTGATTGCCAAAGTGGATGGTAATTTTGTTCTATCAAATCGGGATCAATTTTCACACAATAGAATCACGAAGTATTTATGGTGTCCCTTTTTATCGATTTTATAGATGTCAATGTTGTATTAGTGGAACGAGATTTAAGCAATAATTGTTTGTAATTGAAATAAACGTTCAATTTAAACCTTTGTTTTATTTTGTGTTTATTATTCTGATTTTCACATTCATCATTCACGATTTATTAAAAACAGTCGCTACACCCTAGCTCGGCGTTACATCTAAAGTGGCTATAGCTACATGAATTTTGTACTAAAGTATGCTTTAAGCTCAAGGGACTTAGATTTAACGTCGTATAGGTAAATAGTCGCTACAAACAATGTCGTAATAAATGAAATCCACTGTACTAGGCATAAGTTATGTTATATACAGAATGTCCCAAAATTGAACGTCAAGCGGGTACGGGGCGATAAGCTGGGTCGTACCATTTCTAGCAAAACTAAAAAATAAATCCATGTTACTTGGTTAAGTGATATTAGGTATACTTTTAAAAATGTTGAAAATCAACACCTTAGATCACGTAGTATTTAGGTATTGTGATCACAAATTTCTAAGTTTTTCAGTTTTTTTTTTCATGCAATCGTAAAAAACTACGCTATTAATCACATAACTTTGACGCCTTGTCTTTAAAAAAATATATACTATACAGGCAAGTTGTTTTAAATAATGACCCATTTAATTAAGATTTCAAAATAGTGCAGCACTTGCTTCTTATCTTCCCATGACAAATATTATTGCTTATTTACTTCCAAAAGCACTCAATTTCAAATAAACTTTTTTACCTGAAAAGGATTTGCTTTATTATTGTGTAAGCGAGACAGACAGATGAGATAGAGTGAGTTAGAGAAAGACGCTGTTAATGCAATAGAGTGGGATAGTCTGACATGCGTTGATATTCAACATTTTCAAAAGTATAACGATTATCACTTATCCAAGTAGCATGTTTTTAAAAATGCTAGAACTGGTACAACCTAGGTTATCGCCCCGTACCCGCTTGATGTTAGTTTTGGGACTGCCTTTATATTTTTGAGACCAAGAAAGAGTGTTTTGTGACGTAAAGTTTCTTATTTTTAAAGTGAAAATCAAATAAAACAATAGTGCGTTAATAACATCGTATATTTATTTAACAATAATCGGTGGGTGATGTGTACAAATAAAAATAGTTGGTACATTTCTTTTTAGCATTATATATAGTCACACCGGCGGGTCTTCAGTCCGGGTACGATTTTTAAAGATCCTCTAAATTATGAAAAAATTTTGATGTGGTATAATGAGATCAAGACATAGCCATAAGTTGCTTGCACAAATTGTTGAGAAAAGATATTGTGGAGATTAAGAAGAAATTTTGTATGTGTATCAGAATCGAGGGTAAAATCAAGCTTTCTTTATTTTATGCCGTGTAAGTCTTCACTGTCGCTTCCTATTCTTCTGATAAAAGATCACGCGATTAAACATTACGGTAAGCTGATCAATATAGTATTGTTGCAACATGTTGGCATACGTGTGCTGTGATTATAGTGAGAAGTGGTAGAGTTGATTGTGTTGCGTGGGTGTGTGCGCGGGGGGAGGGTGCGGGCGTGCGTGCGTGGGGGGGAGTGCGGGGTACGCGGCATGCGGGCGCAATGCCCGTGCTGGCGCGTGCTGCCGCAGCACGACCAGTGGCGCGCGCCCGGCCAGCCCGTGTGCCCGTGTCCGCAACCTGTACATAGCGCACATTACAAAAAATATACACATCCCCAAATATAATAATAATAGTATACGCATACGCACACTCTAGAGAGTCTAGAGTGATGACGTAATGCTGTTTGCCGGCACAGCATTCGTGTCGGTTTTATTGCCATGGCGTGCCAATAGATGATTCAATCAATAATCACAATCTCATCCGACCCGATTTCGGTCACGATGCCTAATCTCAACAGAGTAGCCATCACAGGACAGAATTATACTACCCAAACACATGTGCAAGCATAGGCGCACTCCTATTCCCTCACTTTCATAGTCCGATGGGAAGGTATTCCGACACGTTCGGAGAGAGATCAGGTGCACGTCCAACGGAATTTATTACACAAAAACTCAATAACTGATTTTGGCCCGACGCGGGATTCGAACCCGAGATAAGCAAGCACGTTTAAGACCACTAGACCAACGAGGCATTAAAAAATTCAGTTCACAAGTCTACTGCTGATCATAGGCCTCCTCAAAGGAATGCCATAATATCCTGAGCCATATGGATCCATCGACTTCTGCATGTCTTACCAGATCGTCACTCCATCTAGTGAAAGAAGCCGCCCTACACTTTACCAACCTGCACGAGAAATTTCTTCCCCGTCCGTCGTTGGTTCTTCAAACTATATTGCCGGCCCATTGTCTGATATACATCACTTAATATCTTAACTCACTATGTTGATCGTAATATAGTATAATAAAAGGGACTCGAACCTTTATACCCGGGCATAGTGGCCCCGCAGCCGCAGGCGATATCTCGGCGGCCACCCGTCGAGCAGAACGTGCAGCAGTGGAATTGTCCCGAGTGCGACTTGAACACGCGTGCCGCACACGCAAACGGACTGCCCTGTACATACCGTTACCGTTACCATCAGTCTACTGCTAAACATAAGCCGCGCACACAGATTGCCTCACGGGCGGGGATATTTGCCACGCTTGGCAAGCGGGTTGGCAACTGCAGTTTGTTAGTTTTAGTCGTTATTAGAAAGACGCTGGTGCCCATCTCCTGATTTGTTTCCCTCCGTCGTCTCTTACGACACCCACGAGATGATATGGGGTAGTGGATATTCTTAAAATAAGATATGATTTAAATTTGTTAATGAATAATTTGTCATGTAACAATATTTTAAATTTGACATTTAATTGTAATAATTAGACTAATAGAATTAATTTAATGGACATAAATAATTTTTGACTACAGATAGATATTACCTATCCAAATATAATTTAAGATGGATAGCAAGTGTGCTGTCTTATTATTTATATATTAACTCAGCCTAGGACTTGGCTACCCAGATATCTGCTCATGCAATTTGGAATCAGTTCCAAGTAATTTAAATTAGAAAATGAGACAATAGAGGTAATCTTTAGCAGTTATAATAATTTAAATAATTTAGAATGTAGCTTACAAATCCTTAATAGTTGCAATTGTATGACTACACTAAATGAAAATAAAAATTGTTTACACCTGGTGCATCAGAAGGTGACGGTGAGCAGTAACAGTACAGTGGGACTTTGACCTGTTATTGTATACAAGTAAGGCGCAGTGTACACTGGGTAACTTCATGAAACCGTCCCCCCTCCCCTTAGAACGAGTTCCGCCCAGTCGTGGCGGAGAGACTTAGTAGTCGTGATTTGGCCGCCCACGGTAAACAAAGAGAAACCCCAAGTGGGTTGGCTGGCCCACGAGGAAGGAATGAAGTCTAGGGCTTCTGATTGCTCGTTTTTCCTGGACTTGAGGGAGCCGTTGCGCAGATGGAGTTAAAGGCCGCGGAGGAAGGTGTGCCTAGTGTTCTGGAGCGCCTTACCTGAGAAGGAGAAGAGGGAGGAGTTGTCCACTTCCGAGGAGCCTCTGCCAATATACGATGAAGGTGGATTACCTATAACTATAAACGCTTGTCACCCAGACGTATAGGCAGAGACTACGGACTTCCGTTTGGTACGATCCTGACACACTTATTTCGCCTCAGTTATATCGTTAATTCGTTCAATAAACTTTCGTTTAGGTTATCCTTTGCTGACTCTGCCGTTCTCTGACCTTGAGGTTTTAGTCGGTACGAGTTCGATATAACCTATTTTTGTCCTCGCTATGCGTAGGCATTTCAATATGTAAAATTAAAAAAAAATAAGGATACCTTGATGGGCGTGCTATTGACGGTGACGGCGAGCCAGTACGCGCCGGGCGTGGTGGGCGTGACGCGCACGCCGTACGTGCCGTCGTTGCGGTCCAGCACGCGCGCGCTCTGCGGACGCGCACTCGAGTCGCTTCTTCTGAAATATCCCTCTACCTACAACGCAACGCTTCGTCGTTATTGATTATTCAGTCTTAATTGTACCTTACATAAACTATACAAAAACATAATCGTGTGTTCAAAGTCCAAGTCAAATATTTTTATTTAAAATTGACTTTTACAACGCACTTGCAGCATATTGCAATTGTATTTCGTGTGGTAAGTGTAGGAATCAGAGACCCTTTTTATTGGAAACGAGGCATTCCACCTTAGTCCTCAGAGGTGACAATGCACCTGCATTTTGATTCCTAATCGAGGATTTATGCAGATGTCTATGTACCACAGACTTATTTTTCCACCATTAGGTGGACTGTGTTCTCGTTTGTCACAATTATTCTATAAAAAACTTTTTGAAAGTGAAATACTATGCCATCGTTTAAACACGTCCCTACTGCGGGAAGACCCTGTGTGTAGAAGCGGCAAGAAACTCACAAGTAGACTATTTTCTCCTTATAATAATATGATCTACATAAGGAAAAAAGGTCCACACATTAACTTATAAAATTGCACTTACATTTTTCAAACGAACTTCAATCCACCTGCTGTAAAATGTTAATAAGAACTTGCAGCCTACTTCAAGCAAAAAGGGCTACAGATGCGTCGTCACCTCTGAGGACTAATATGGAATTCCTTGCATGCAATTTGAAAAGCTTGTAATTATACTACCTGTATATGGAACACAGCCTGTATTAAAACTGGCTCTCTATACCCTTCAGACCGGAACACTGCAAAGGAACCACTTCCAATTTGCCGCAGAAATAAGTATCAAAGTACTCAGACGGACTCCATCTAGAAAAGTTTAATCCTATAAATTCGCAACCCGTATCGCTAAGTTTCCGTTGTGTCAGCTTGCCCCTTTACCTAAAAGAAAACACCTCCTCATAAGATCCTGTCAACTTTTCTTCTTTTTCTTTAACGAGAATTTGTTCTAGTACTTTATTTTGTTTTAATACCAACGTCACCATAATAATTATACTATTATAAACAGATAATACTAATGGGAATTACAAACCTGTTCCCCTCCACACCAAATCCGCTCACCGCTGCTGTCGCGTAGTTCCAATATGGCTTCGTGTTCGCAGTCAACGTGCAGATCTTGAAGACCTAAAACAGTGTTATGATCGGTTTACCTAAACAATTTGTTTATTATGATACATTATTAGTGTATATAAAAAGTAAAGTTACAGCCCATACACGCTTAACTGCTGCTTACGGGCTTTTTGAGAGGGTTTTAGGGCAAGTAAATGTCCACCACGATGCCACGATAATAAATATATCTTAAGGGTGGAAAGTATATAAATTAGAAATAGTCCACGTTTAAGAGTGGATAGGTTATGAATACCCTCATTTTTAAAGTCCTTCTTTTTTTGTAGTTGACTAAAATCAAAGTCGGTCGTCATTTTTGGTGTACCGTCTGTCAGCGTGCAGTAGACAATTGTCGGGGTGTGGCGCCTTTGTGAGCAGTCGTCCGTTGAGCAGGGAGTCGGCAAAAATCAAAGCCGTCCATGTTGGTGCGTGCCGTCAACAGACAGGCGTCCGGGTGCGGCGCCTGTGTGAGTAGGCAGAGGAGAGGCGAGCCAAAGAACACGGAGCGATATGGGGTAGTGGATATACTTATACCGGTACCTAAACGGTAAGCAGTGGCGAAGCTAGGGTTCCAAACTAGGGCAAGCCCAAGATATGGTTTTGTTGTTTTTCTCGAAAGCCCGGTAAAAAACCAACGCGTGCGAGAGACGACAAAATCAACTTCTTGCGTTCATTAATTTTGACAGTCCAGTGTATTTCGAATTGAAAGCAAACTGCCAAGTGTTGACGTTACATATTATATGCTACGAGGTCATGAGCAGGAAATTTGAAATAGTTTTAAACAGTTTACGAATTATTTTATTAGTTGATATTATTGATTGAGCAGAAGAGCAAGCCCGGCTTCTGGGCTTCTATGGAGGCTTTACCACTGACGGTAAGTCGTTCGCGTTGCTGCATACCTTCAGCGTGCAGCAGACAGGCATCGGGGTGCGGTGCCTGTGTGAGCAGGCGGCCGTAGAGCACGGGGCACGGAACGATATACTTACACTGCTACTAAACGGTAAGTCGTTCACGTCGGTGCATACCTTCAGCGTGCAGCAGACAGGCGTCGGGGTGCGGCGCCTGTGTGAGCAGGCGGCCGTAGAGCACGGAGTCGGGCGCGGCTCTTGCAGCCGCGGCGAAGCGCAGCGGCAAGCGCGCGGGCGGTGTGCGCAGCTCGGTGAGGCGCGCCAGCCGCCGCAGCGCCGCGCCGCTCAGCATCAGCACCTCCTCCTGCCGCCCCTCGCTCACCAGCTGCCGAATAACGTATAATAAGAAAAACACAAACATAGGTGCAGTTCACACGCGGTACTATTGAAACATTCAAATGAAATGCTCGGGGTTTCTCTGCGTGATAAACTTAGAAATGAGGATATCCGCAGTAGAACCAGAGTAATCGACATTGCCCAACAGATTAATAAGCTAAAGTGACACTGAGCCGGCCATATAGGTCGAAGAACCGACTGATGGGGAAAAAAGGTTCTTGAGTGTCAGCCTCGTACCTGTAGGCGTAGTGTAGGGCGACCCCCAACTAGATGGAGTGACGACCTGGTAAGACATGTAGGAACTCGATGGATGCAGGTGACTCAGGATCGTGCTTTGTGGCATTCCTTGGGGGAGGCCTATGTTCAGCAGTGGACTTGTGAAATGAAATCCTCAAGAAAACTATGTATATTGTATTCTATCTCATTATCTCGAAGGCTAAATCCTATATATATATATATATATATATATATATATATATATATATATATATATATATACCTATATATATATATATATATATATATATATATATATATATATATATGTTTGTCCCTTATTAATGTAGCTTTTCCGTTGAAACGGAATGAAAACGGCTATGATTTGTAACTCGGTGAACCGAGTTACAAATCATAGCGATTCTAAAGAAGTTTTCTTCTCTTTAATAATATTAGACGAGAAAAACTTAAACAACAAGCATCGATCCTAAGCTGATTGTTTTATACTATCCGGGTGATCCTGCTGAGATTAGTGGTGATGGTATTAGTGTACACAATTAAGGGAGGGTGGGGGGTACTCTTCAAACTAGGTAAGACCTTGAGCGGCGTGTGCGAATTAATTCTAAACTACGTTAAATATGATTTTTGATATTTCAACAGTGTGACATAAATATAAGATAGTATAATTTTCGTGCTCTCTGAAACATAGATTTACCCACGGTAGCTCCTGAACTGTGAAAGATGATGGTGAGAATCACAGTTTAAATCCCTATCCGTATGGGTCTTGTTTCTATACACAGTGTGGCTGAAGGTGTTATTAGGAAAAAAATATTAATTTTAATATGGAGGTAGCCGTGGTTAACTATGACATTGGGACGTCGAACACCTCAGTTCCCCTATGACCATGGGTGATGTAAAGTCGATACGTCGGAAATATATAATAAGTTAACACGCGATAAATCCGTAAAGACTAGTTTTATTTAAATAATAATAATACCGATCTCCCGATCGATTTCGTAACGATAATAGCCATCTGCGCAGGATAGGATTATAGTGCACAAGTGTATGCACAAACACAGTGCATTATATATTCCCTCGCTCACATAGTTCGATGGGACGGCAAACCGACACGACCGAAAATAGATCAAAAAATTAAAAGAGAAAATTTCTTGACAGAAAAACAATATCTTTTTTGACCAAATCCGAAACCTTACGATTAGCAGTCGTATTTACGACCACTAGACAACAAAAAGTCGTCAAAAGGGACTACTGTATAGGATAAGGGCGACAAACGAACACACAGTAACCTAGTGTTAAGTGGATGCTGAGGCCCGTAGACATCTACATCTTTCCTCGAATAAGAATTAAACTGACTAAGAAAACTACTAAACAACCAGGTTGTCAACGAGTTTTCAATCTTCACCCTTCAGCTCAGTCCGTTATGCGCATAGAAAAGCAGTGGGCAAGCATGCGGTACACCTGATGGTAAGTCACTATGACTGGTGTTCCAAATTGTGTCTCACCTCGAAGTAACACATAGTGTTCTCTATCGTGTCTGACATTCTGAGTGTAAGGTACGACGTGCCCAGCTGTGTCCCATTTGCTAAGATTACTACATGTACATGGTCGGTGTTCCCTATCGTGGCTGACCTCCTCCGTGAAGCGCACGGCGTGCTGTGCGAGGTCCGCGCGCTGCTGCAGCAGCTGGTGCGTGCGCTCGGTGCGCTGCCTCTGCCTGGCGCGCGCACGCGCGGCCGCGGCGCAGAGCGCGCGTGTGTGCGCGTCCACCGCGCGCTTGTACTGCTCCGCCCACGCGCGCACCTCCGCCTCTACTTGCGAAGCGTGCTCCTGGGTGTTGGCAATGAGGGCTAGTTTTAAATAAAAGTTTATTACTTTCTATCTTATTGTATTAATTTATATAGCAAATCTAAAAGCAATTTACGCCAATTCATTGTGGGTAGCATTCTGTAAAAACAATCGGCTACAAAAACACGTCCATTAACTTTGAAGGATTTGGAGTGAATGTATCGTTTCGTATATTATCGTATCTGCGTAGTCTGTGACTAGCTTTACTTTTGACGACTGTTGACCATAGACTATTATGTGTTTTAAACAATTGACATTAGCAACCAATAAATAGTTATCTGTGATTGGCAATATGAACGTAAACCATGGAATGTAGAGGTTAGGAGAACCGTCACTGTATATTAAAAAGTGTCTGTAGTATGGAGTGTAGAAGTAAGGAGCACCAACTCCCCTAGTAGAATAGTTGAAAAAGTGGCCATCTGTAAGCAGTAAATAACAGTTCAAAAACTCTCCACAACAGCGCTGGAATAGCTACTGAAATGAACTTAGCTGTTTAAGTGTGCTGCTTAACTGCTCAGTAGCTCTAAAATCTTAAATAATTTTATTTAGTAAATATAACCTCGAAAAAGTCGTCTATCCCACTATTATTTTTCGGTGCGTTCTTTAAAATTTACCTCGTAGTTATAGTGGCGCCACCCTTATTTAACGGTTTTGTATGGACACTTTTTAATACACAGTCTGTACTCCTTACTTCTACACTACATAGTCATAGAAGGGTTATATAAGGGTGGTTTTTGTATGTTATAATTCCTAAATTATTTTAGGCAACCTGAGTAGTTGAGGTTCAACGACTCTAGTCAGCACAAATATATAATTCCTCAACTCACCACACGTCACTCCGTCGACAACTGCTAAATTCATTTCGTACCCTCTAGCTACTATAGCGCTGTTGTGGAGAGTTTTTGAACTGTTATTTACTGCTCACAGATGGACACTTTTTCAACTATTCTCCATGTGAGACGGTTCTTCTAACCTATACACACCATGACGTAAACGATGAATATTTTACAATTTTTTTTAATATATTTGCATTATTAATAATATTCATATTATACATAAACTTCAGTTTTTTGCAATCCTTCTGATTATAAACTTTTATTATGCCAAATCTCACACTTCTACGTGCGCGAAATATAATTAAAATGGGATACAAAGCTTTCCCTTCTCATAATAGTATAGCAGCAGTAATAATAGTATACAGATTGCATTACTCAGGTCAACAAAAAGTTAAACAAAACGTTACGTATATTTCAAGTGTCCCGAAAATCATGTTCAACTTATTCTAAGAATTCACGCACACATGAACTTAATCCATGTTTGTGCTGCAAATAGTTCTGGGAGCACATGTATGTGTGCGTAAAATGCAAGTTCTTAAAATAAGCTGGGTATGGTTTTTGCTTTATTCCTACGTAATGTAAATCGATGAAAGAAGTAAACAATGTTCAACCTTCTTTTTACCATTTGCGGGCAGCTGTGCAGGTCTAGGAAAAGAGACCAGTATCACTACGACCTAAAAGATCTATTGTCATCATTGCTATGGCTATAGTTCACTGCTAAGCCCTATATCTTCAATGAATAGAAGGAGTTGCTTAGCTGTGAGCAGTTTCACTTCTTCTGGGCGGAGTAGATAGTGTCCCAGATGAGTGTTACGTTTGCGCATTAAGGGTCCGCAATCGGTTAGGATGTGCAGAGGCGTTTCTTCCGCTATGGAACAGAACCGACACATTTTTGTGAGTTGTGAGTTGCTTAGTCTCAGGATGGACATGTGCTTTTTAAGATAACTGTGTCCAGTTAGGGCTCTTGCCAGAATTCGCAATTTATTTTTGCTAAATTCCAGGGCTTCTAAAGCGAATTTACGATCAAAAGCTCGGATTAAGGTTTTAGAACGTTTAAGCCTGTTGTGTCAGATCTTAAATGTTCTACATTACTAAGAAATTTATTTTAATATTCAAAAACAATTACGGATTCCACATGAATAAGTGAAACTGGAAAGGCTCATGTACGACAGTGTAGTTTTGCGGGATTAAGGGAGACCAAGACGAACCAGAAGTAAAGCCATATATCCATTCTATTAACAAAGAGATGTGTCAAGAAGGTATAAGAGTCTTATACGACGATCAACTACAACTTGAAAGCTGACTGGGATGACTTGTCTCGAGTGTATCACCTTGTACTTTATAAAATTTAACACCATTACTATAACTTAGTTAACTTAACTAAACGTAGAACTAACTTTAGTTAACTTAGTTATTGTTAATACCAAAGTTTTAACTTTTAAATGTGTAAATTAAACAAGTGGACTAAATGCCGTATAGCGGTATAGAGGTCTACCACATATTATCCTATGGATAGCGTACGAGGCGACAAAATGAAACTGGATCAAGAAATGGGCAGCAACATCTTATTGATGACAACTCCATAATAATTTAAAAAAAAACTGCGATTGTCAACCCATTTGTCAAGCATAGTAACTGCGAAGCCCAGGTTTAGCAGTGGATAGTTGTAATATATGGATGAATAAAATTTTGATAAATAAAACACCTCCACACTACAAAGGAGAAATTCGTAGTGTCAGAGTAACTCACGTCAGCCTCCAACGCTTCCACATTCAAAGTCCTCGCAGCTCGATCCACGTTCTCGGGCACCAGCTTGGCGCGCTCGCAAGCGTCCCGCAGCAAGCGAACCCGCTCGGCTGCAGCCCGTGCAGCGCTGGCCAGAGCGTGACCCGCGTGCGATATCATGCTGCAGTCTCGACATATCACCTGACGGACACACCCACCTATAAATACACGTCTATGCCCATACCATCCTGTGGGTGTCGTAAGAGAGCCGTGGCGTCACGTGATTAGGGGCGCAAGGTCACAGACGGCCGCGCGTGGAAGTTTTAAACGAAAATACAATAAAGTAAATACTAACTTACATAAAATAAATAAAAACACAAACAACGAGAGAATGAAACGAATGGACAGTATCAGAAGTAGGATTCTACGAAGCACCGCAGGAAAAGGAACCCGAGGTAGGCATGTCAATCAAGATCGATTAATCTAAGTATCGATTTTTTGTGCCAAAAAGATCGACTTTTAAGCGATATATACTTATTACTGAATCGATCCAAAGAATCGATATTTCACCCTAGAAAATCGTGATCAAATCTTTTTCTGTTTTCATAAGAACCATAAAATAATTTTTTTACCTATAATGTACCCAAACTCGTAAAGAACGACAGTTTTTCTATGCAAAAACTAGCAAAACTGCCGTGTACTCGGTTTCTTTCGCATCTTTCTTGTAGATTAAATAAATAAAAAATACGTTAGGTTTGTAATCTGTACTTTGTATGAATCTGAAAGCAAATCGAAAAAAGATCGATTTTTGAGAAATCGATCTTTTAGACCTTGATTTTTTTGTGAACCGATTCATCAGATTTAAATTCAAATCTATTTAAAAATCGATCTTTTTCGCAAAGAATCAACATCCCGAGCCCGAGGTAATAGAAAATATTGTATACAGTAATTCTATCGCAGGAGGCTAAATCCTATTGCTGTATATGTCTGTCTCTTTTTAGTGTGTTTCGTTTCATCGAGTTTCATATCACAACGATTCTAAAGAAGTTTTCACTTCAAAAATCATACTTTCTAAAAAGATGTAGAATTTCTCAAGCGCGCCCCGTCACTATTGCCATTTAATACGCCTTTATAAGAGGCGTAAACAATCTAAGAGATGGGCAGCAACGTCTCCTCTAAGAACAAGCTGAAGCTATATTATAGTTGCAGCACGAATGGGTCGGCTCGACTGGGGAAGGCCCACGCTCTCACAGAATACCATCGTAAAATAGCAGCATAGTACTGCTGTGTTTCGTACGGTGAGTGTAGAGATCCGGAGACCCTTTTTTCTGGAAACGGGGCATTCCATCTTAGTTCTCAGGGGTGACAACGCATCTGTGTTTTGATTCTTAATCAAGGATAAATGTAGTTGTATATGGGCCACAGCATCCACTTACCATCAGGTGGACTGTGTGCTCGTTTGTCACCCTTATTCTATAAAAAAAACTGAACACAAAAAACCGCTTAACAAACCCGCTTGCCAAGCGTGATAACTATGGCAACTATCTCCCTATGCTGTAAACCAGGGGTGGCCGAATTGATTAGATCCAAGATCTACTGTTTACTAGGGAAGCCCTGTGCGATCTACTAATTTCATACTTCTTGAAATCTTAAATGAAACAGCATTCAGTACACAATTAAGTAGATAGTATTTTATATTTTATTAACAGAAAAAACATAAAACTGAAAATTATTCTTTGTGTTTTCATCGCGTGCCGAAAACAAAAGAGAGCTATAAGTACTGCGTAAAGGGCAGGAGAAATAACGTGACGGAACACTATAATATACGGAACGGAGATTGAAAATTATAAAAGATAATGCGTGCAGCAGTAGGTGATTACGTTGCGCAGTCTGTTCTACGTATTTACGTTTATATTTTTTATCTTGTCACGATCGACTAGACTATATACTGGTAAACTATGGGGAGGCCTATGCTCATGATTGGACTTTTCATAGCTTGTAACGGTAACAGTGACGGCTACGCCTTCCTTGCCATCTAATACCACATTGTGACCAGCTGGTGTCGTAAGTGGCGACTTTCCATTAAATTCTTTTAACTTCCCTTTTCACCTTTCATAATTTTGATTGTAAAAAACTGCCTCACTATTTTTCTTCATTAGCAGAACGGTTCTTAGATGACACAACCTTGGTAAGGCTGACCTAGATGTCCTGAGTTTAAAGATTTACGAAAGGAACATTGAACAAACAGATCTCTTGTCACTAGCCTAATGGCAAGGTGGTTTTTTAAAATTTATTCTTAAAAAGAGTGTACATTCGTTACTTTTTAATTTTGCCGAAATGTAAGCCAGTTTGTCGGCAATAAAACAGTTTAACGTCACACACTCCTTAATGACAGTACGCAAATGGTACTTATAAATAGTTAAATCTCTGCTTATCTTATATACAAGAAACATTCACCAATATGGACACAAGGATAGATAATGTTTCCGCCTTTTGACTACCATCGTGAACCATCCCTAAGCATTTTAAGCTTACCAGGAGTGGTTGAAGGGAATATTAGTAATGTCAATAGCATTCCTAATATTTATAAAAAAAAATTAAGATAAAGGCCTTCTAAAGCATATAGGGTGCATGTTATAATTACGTATTACGGTATTACAATTATGAATGCCTCGATACGCCCTTTTGCCGATACGATACGGATACCGATGCTCTTATAAAAATATAGGCGATACCTATACCGATACGGATATGCATAATGAATCCAAAAATGAAGGTACAATAAATAAAACACAAGTCAGGTTATTTTTTTAATTAATATAATAACAATACAGGACAAATTATATATATATATATTATATATATATATACATATATATATACACTTTATTTTTTTTTTTTTTTTTTATTATATATATATAATTAAATAAGAGTTTTGGAGGCTCGTTTTAGCTACATTTTTGAAGCGCGCAATTTGAAAAGTATCGTTGAATCGGCCATAAAAATATCGCCGATGCCGACATAATCGGCAAACTTCGCGTATCACCGATATATCGGCATCGGTATCGGTATCGGATGCATTCCTAATTACAATGCTCATTGATGAAAGATGAGTTTTAATATCATCATAACATGTAGCTCAATTCCATTTTGATTTATAAAAACTTTTTCCTTTTCTATTTTTGAGTTGCACATTCATTCATCATTCGTTACAGTAATAAATGTTTGTATAACAAGTGGTTGCAAGTGTCATTAGGTGTAGTATATATAGGGGATAGTGAGTTTTTTCATGCATTGTATAAAAGTATAAAACTTTTTTCTTTACGCTGAGTTGATAAGGAATCATGGACATATTCTCCGAAGTATCACCTGCAAATAATACTGACCTGTTGACATGTAGCGCAGTAAACACTGAGCTCCGACCTAGGATGCTGACTGCAGTACTTCATCGGAGGCTCGATGGGCTCAAGAGAGTGTCTAGTCGTTGACTTCTGTTTCCCATGGTCTTTGCCACAAGACGAGCATACACTGACGAGGCACTGTCTGCAGCGACTTTCGGCCTACAAAACGAGTTATCATAAAAATAACCTCTAAGATATTAATCATTACCTAATCGACGTTTTATATTTAAATATCTTATTTTATGTTAAAATCAAAATAATTGATTTCATTTATATCTGGACGTATATCCCTCATATTTGAAGGAATTAACAAATCCTTTTTGCACGTGTCACAGACGAACAAAAAAGAACAGAAAAGACAACATTACGTACTACGAGTAAATTTCAAGTATATACAATGATTTCAAAAGGAAGGATATCTCTCTATTTTCTGGATGTTAGCGCTGTTAGTCTATACGACTCTTACAGCTTCATCTGACTCAGGGCTCGAGGCCTGCAAGGCGAATGGAAAGGCAATGAGGTGAGGATGATGATGAGTGGTTTATGACTTGGTATTGTTACCAATCATCATGTCGCCTTTTTAGGCGTTTTTTTAAGCTATCTAACCGCAGTCCGAGGGGGGGGGGAGTGCGGACCCCCGTCTCTGACCGCTCAGCTCGTGTCGGACGATGGTCTGGGCGGTGAGAACCGCCCAGGAACGCGGGTGTACGGTGTGTACGCGGTGTGAGCTGGAACTGCCCCCATTCATAATCCTAGTAATGTTTGTTCCATTTAGTGTGGGTGCAGTGTCATTGTGTGAGCCGACGTTTGGGTCGACTGGATCGAGCGGTTGAAAGAAAGGATATGCCCTTCTAAATATTTTACTCATAACTTTTTCATACAAGAAAAAGTAGCGCGTCTGTCATAATACAAACGTCATATCAAAACACGACGTAACCAGGGGTCGAATTTCGTAATATAATTATCCTAATAATACAAAGCGAAAATACCATAATTTTACTTAAAGTTCGGCTTGTATTGTTATTGGGTTTTTACATTTTAATAATAACCCTACAATTCGATATTGTTTTGTACATGAGTACCGCGTTTTTTTTAAATATAATTAGAATTAGCTCCCTTTCTGGTCAATCGACGCGCGATCAATGCATTTATGTTGCATCCTTAATACAATTTTAATGAGGGGCTACCACGATAAAAACTCTATGCTCCAGAATCAATCGGTTTGAAAACAGAATTTCAAAATAATTTATAAATCAGATTTTCAGATTCAATTAAGCAGATATGGTTTCTTTTGTACTCTTTTCGTTTTACCCTTATTGAATATAAAATATATTAGGTACCAATATTCAAAATTTAACTTATACTAAGTTCTTTAGACAAAAATTAAACAGAAATAAAAATAAAACCGTCAAAAAACTAAACGTATAGATAAACTAGACGCGTGACGCCAAAATCCCGGCACATGGGAAAAAATGTAGAAGAGAAACTATGACTAAGTGCGTGGCTCGGGGAAAGGACGATATCGAATTTTTAGGTTATACAATAATCTTTATGATTTTAAACACATTTAGATAAAAATTTTAATTGAAGATGAACTGAAAATCCACCCTGAAGCTCACTAAACGCTTTTTTCTCACTTAAATCAACTTGTAAACTCCTTAAATACTAGTGTTAAAATTAAAGTTTAAGTAAAAAAAGGCACGGAGAAGGACAAACAATTTATTTCTATGCAAGAGTATGTAAATCTATCTTTTTACCGAATGGAAATGAAGGTCAATTTGTTATGGTTTTTGGAAATAAACATTAAACGTCAAACGTGATATAATTTTTTTTAAAATAGTATAATTTGATCCATGTACAATATTTATGAGGGTCTGAATCCAGCGCTGGCCTAATCTTGGTAACGTAACTAAACTGTAAAATCTTTAGAGTTTTTCAATTTAACTGGTCCGTTTTAGTTGTTCGGTCGGCCCGGTCCTTACACTAGTAATATATAAGTCAATGAGTACATAACGCCGAAACCATTCACACCATTAACACCTTACAATGTTGTATATACCTAAGCCCACGTTGTTGATTGCAAGTGGATGAACAGCGGCTTTTAGTCCAAATTTCATTAGAATCCGTCCGGCCGTTTTAGCGTGATTGAAAGACAAACATCCAAATAAACATACTTTTAAATTAAATTATAGATCGGGAAAAAGTTTCTTCTTAATTTGTTTGTATAAAATTGAAGAAAAATCTCTTTGGTTGTACTGTTTGTATCTGCCTGGTTTTAATATCAATACATGTTGGACATTAAGAAAAAGAAAAAGTAAAAAACACTTTCCCGCCATTTTTTAATTGTTTTTCTGTTCGCCAAAATGATATTACTTATTACAAAAAAGGAAAAAATGCGACTCAAGTGGCAAACAAATTTTGTGACCTTTATGGACCCAATGCAGTGTTATTAAGAGTAGCATAAAGCAGGTTCAAGCGTTTTTAAGTACGAAGATGCAGCTCACTCTGGTCGCCCTCATACGAATAAAGTTGATGCTATTTTTGAATAAGTGGAGCAAGATCGGTATATTAGTAGTTATGACATAGCCGAGGAGTTGAGGACTGACCACAAAACCGTTTTGACCCATTTGAAAAAGTTTGGCTATACTTAAAAAAGCTCTGTATTTGGGTGCCACTCGAGCTCACTGAAAGAACTATAATGAATTGTGTACTCATTTGCGATTCTCTGTTAAAACATAATGAAACCGAAACCAGTTTTGAAAAGATTGATCACTGGTGAGAAAAAGTGGATCACCTACGACAAGAACGTGCGAAAAAAATCGTGGTCAAAGGGTAGTCAAACTTCAGAGACTGTAGCGAAACCCGAATTAATACGCAATAAGGTTATGCTGTATGTATGGTGGATTTGGAAGGGTATATCCTTTATTATGAGCTTTTACCGTCGGGCAAAACAATTGATTCGGATCTCTGCTGCCAATAACTAATGAGACTCAAGCAACAAATTGAGAAAAAACGGCCCGAATTGCTAAACTGAAAACGAGTGACCACTCAGCAAAAATTGAGAGTTTAGTTGGGAAGTGTTAATGTATCCACCATATAGTGCCCACCTTGCACCCTCATATTTTCAGCTTTTTCGGTGTCTTCAAAATTCTTTGGTTGGTGTTAGGTTAACATGAAAAGAGGTCTGTCAAACCTACTTGTCGCATTTTTTTGATCAAAAGGCCCACGGGTTTATGTCACTACCTACAAGATGGCAACAAGTTATCGAACAAAATGGGACATAAGTATATATTATAATTAAATGTAACTTTGAAATAAAAATGTCTTTATATATAAAATACGAAGAAACTTTTCCCCGACCAAAACCTCGCTATACCTAATTTTCACAGTCAGATATATTTTGGGCATTCCATTGCCGACATTGATTTCTGTTCTGAAATATCCACAAAGGACGAACTTAAACGGTAAATGTGGCGTCGCATAGCTAATGGAATTTTTCGGAAATCTATCGTGGTATGGATACGCACGAGTTGCAGGCCACGTGTGGCGGGAACTAACTTATCCATAACTGTCACTTTTGTCATAAATAAAAACAGACGTAAGCTCAAGTTTAAATTAATTTTGTGTTCTATAGTATCTAACAATAGGTAACTGCGCTACGTACCGCTAGACTAAGAAAATCATCATTCTCAGCCTCTAAATACCCATTATGGACATCATGGACACGGTTGGGATGTTTGACGCTGTCTATGGTCAACCAAAGGTTAGGTAGATAGATAGATCTTTAAGATTTTCGAGGTGTTGGGAACAAATTCCATTCCTGATGTATTCGCAAATTTCAATAACCCAGGTAAGTAAAGATAGAGGTATCAACTGAAGTAGACATCTGCATTTGGGGAAAAAGAGCAAGGCCATTACCATTTTTAGAATGTTCGGCGTTAAGATTGGAATTACATCTGACGATGTTAGACCTTTATAGTTTTGTTGTTCCTTTTTTCCAACTAGGTATATGAATATACCTAGATTGATAAGGCAGATCTGCGTTTTTCCCGACCATAATATGAATATAGATCGATAAGTCTGATGAGGTTTTCCTTAAGCACTAGAAACATTATTTGGAAAAAAAAATAACGAATTACCTTATTATCACTATTACATAAGTCACACAATACTCCGATGTCCTCATTGTCCGCAAATGAAATTTTCCTCAGCAGTACGTAGTTCAGTGGTAACTCCAATATTCCTCCAGCAGGCAGCTGGGTTTCGTGTCCACATGTCGGGCACATTAGGAACTGAACAGTCTTTCCCGACACCTATTAACAAAGTATAAAATCTTTGTTTAGCTTGAGAAATTAATGTATCGAAACAGCAATAGTATACATAGTCCGGGTCTGAAATTCTCTCATCTTGTGATAACTCATCAAAAAAACGCTTGGTTATCTTTCGCCTTTTATTTTTGAAAACAGTTGTTACCCTCCACTCTTTTGCTAAATCTCTGGAATCATTTAGCAAACCATTGAGTGAATTTAGATTTCTTATTTCGCTCAATCTATTCAAAAGATTACTTTAGCTTTAGCTTTATTAGAAGTTAAATTATCGAAAAAAGTCGACACTTCAATAACATGTATCGCAGCAATACGTGTTCTTGAATCGTGCTCTTTTATAAGGACTTGTAATCCTCCATATACACTGGATACAATAATTGCTCCAACGTAACTCTGTCCTCTACATTTAGGAAATCAATTCCATATTCTTTAATCGTATTTAAAACTTCAGTTTTAAGTCCTGCACTGCAATCGGATACTGCTATAAACCCCAAAAAGGACTCACAGATTTTTAATTCTTCAGGTACATTATCATCATTTTCTGTTATCGAGATATATCGAAAAACAACAGAAAGTTGGTAAATTTTTGACAAGTCTTGTATTGTATCCAAAATAATTATACTTAGGTATCAATCATGTTTAGTGAATTTTCAACACTATTATAAGAATAAAAATAACCTTTTTAGTAAAGATGCCACATTTTTGAGGCTTGAGATCAAGGCTACCGTCAGAGCCGGAGTTGCGGGCGTCGCTCTCATAACCCGATCCTGCCGACCCAGCACCGGATGCCGATCTGGACTCTCCAGGATCTGATAGTATTGTTCCTGAAATAATATTTTACATTATGTATAGTGGTGTTACTTTATAACCGTGTAGTCGCTGTGTAAGAATACCCACTACACCATACCGTCCCGTGGGTGTCGTAAGATGCGACAGAGAGAGAAAAAAACAGGAAATGGTGAGCGGTGTCTTCCTAATAACATCTAAAAAATAAAAAAAAACTGCCGCCGGTAGCACGCCTCTCAATCGTGGCTACTGTGACGGACATCCTCCCTATGAGGCAATCAATGGGGGAGGCCTATACCTAGCAGTGAACTTAGGTAGACTGTAATTAGTCATGTCACGTAGATGTAGTATGCACGCCATATCTGACAGTGGTATTTTACATGAAAATATATAATTGATAGTATAAAAACCCAGGAACAATACCTAGTTTATAAGATTGCAAGAATACTTTCTAAAGTCATATCTATGCTTTTACCACTGATTTAAAAAATCTGTCTCGGAAAGAACAGAAAGAAATCAAGCGAGACTTTTTAATATCAATTTACAATATAATAAGACTGTCACATTTAGAAACAGCGTGGTAACGATAGGGTTATTGATAAGCTGGTATTTTTTAAAATATTTTATAGGAGAAGGGTGACAAACGAGCACACAGTCCACCTGATGGTAAGTGGTGGCTGTGGCCCATAGACATCTACATCTATCATCGATTACGAATCAAAATGCAAATGCGTTGTCACCCGTGAGGACTAAGATGGAACGCCTCCTTTCCATTAAAAAGGGTATCCGGTTGTTTACACTCACTATACGAAATACAGCAGCGTTAGCTGCTATTTTACATTGGTATTCTGTGAGAGCGTGGTCCCTCTCCGGTCGAGCCGACCCACTCGTGCTACAATTATACTACTCATATAGCTGCAGTATGGGTATAATACACCGTATAAAACTGTGTGGGCTATTCTATTTGTGCATGCTGTTCTATCGTAATGTTAATATATTCACACAGGGATCTCTAACGAAATCCCTAGAGACACAGTTAATGGATTACCAAGATTACTTGCATGAGTCATTAGTTCGAGGTCGATTTATTTCAAGCGCACGTTTCGCGTCGGATATAATGAGTAAGCGACACTTGAAGTTTCCGATGCTGTAAATAACTGAAGCTATCAATTGCCCAGGACGGTTACAAATCTATAGAAACCTATCTTTTTACGCTAGGAAAATTAATGACAAAATGTATGGAGTGTTTTGTCTTGCGTGCTCTAAAAACCAATTCCTTTCTTTTTATAAAACCGAAGTGATAATTCAGTCCATCAGATGGTTAGTGGCTACTGCAGTCAATGGACCCCTGCAGCAACTTAAAGAAAAGAGAAGAAGAAAGAAAGAAGAAAGAAGGCTACATATGCGTTGTCACCTCTGAAGACTAAGATGGAATGCCTCACAGTCTATAATTATCTCTTCATACGCTACAGATTAGACCACAGCAATGCCAGCACTGCTATTTGACGCAAGAATAGGTTAAAATGTGGCACCAAAGAAGTTCTGCCATTTAATATTAATTGGATTTTTTTTTTTTTTATGTTTATTTTTTTTAATTTTAAAAAAAAAAAGTTTTTAAAAAATTTTTTTTTTTTTCTATTTTTTTTTTTCAAAAAAAAAAAAAAAAAATTTTTAAAAAAATTTTTTGTGTTTTTTCTCGGTTTGTGTTTTTTTTAGAGTGGTAATTATATATAGACTAGTCATTTCAAATTATGACTGGAACACTCATATATAATGAGGGGACTATAGAAAATCTACGGCGGTATATCTGTTTTCGTTTTAGACATCTCACAGAATACCAGCGTAAAATAGTAGCTTAATGTTGCTGTGTTTCGTATGGTGAGTGTAGAGAACTGGCGACTCTTTTTAACTGGAAAAGAAGCATTCCATCTTGGTCCTCATGGGTGACAACACATCTGGAGGATAGATGTAGATGTCTATGGGTCACAGCAACCACTTACCAGCAGGTGGATTGTGTGCTCATTTGTCACCCTATACTATAAAAACGTATAATAAACGTATAAAATAGACATTCATCAGTCAATTGGTTTCCCTGGTGATTACGAGAAACTCTCCTTACAACAGGATTGGCCCATGTTCAGCCATATATCAGCTACTAAGGAACTATGAGTAACTATGGTACCATATATACGCCTTTTATTACGTCTATTACGAGTGTACCAAAGAAAAGGAATACAAAGGGGACTATTTTTTCGTTTATCACAATTTATTTTTATTACATAATTTTAATCTATGGCCAGTAAAAAGTGAGTGTTTATATAAACGATGATACTCATGTTCTGTGAATCATTAAAATGAAGTTGGTATGCATTAATAAATTCGTTCCGTTTTATTATCTGTTCGGTTTCTGGTTTATATCTCACATCGTGTTTATTGTTCAGTAAATCAAGGAGAATACCGAAACAAATAGTAATAACATGTTATGCAAGGTACAAAATAATTTTAGACATTTTTGTTACATTTCATATGTATAGAAATAACTTGATCTTGAAGCGACAGTTGCTCAAAATGTCGTGGCTTTTTTATAGAATAAGGGTGACAAACGAGATCAACGGACGCCATGCCCATAGACATTTACATCTACTTACACTCTCTAGCGTAATATATATATATATATATATATATATATATATATATATATATATTTAAGATAACAACTGTGTTATAATAAAAAACTGCGGTTGCCAACCCGCTCGCCAAGCGTGGCAACTATGGCAAATATCCCCCCATGAATAACGACGCAAAAAAACGGCCCCCAGTCCCCGGCGGCCCCGCTATTCCTGGCTACGGTGGCGACCATGGTAACGGCGGGGCAGGGGGTGCTAAGAATCTCCGGTGGAGGTTCGGTTGCCACCTACGACGACTCGACCTGGAAACATATAACGCACGCACTCTGAGGAATGACGAGAAGATACTGGAGCTGGAAGAAGAGGTAGACAAGTTGCGCTGGCATATTATTGGATTATCCGAGGTCCAAAGAGAAGGGGAGGATACGGCAATCCTCGAGTTCGGCAACTTGTTCTACCACCGGGAGGGCGACCATCTGTCCCAAGGAGGTGTCGGATTTATCGTCCACAAGTCTCTCGTCAACAACGTTGTAAAGATTGGGAGTGTGTCGACGAGGGTCGCGTACCTGATACTCAGAATCACCAAACGGTATTCGCTGAAGGTCATACAGGTTTACGCACCAACCTCGGCACATCCCGATGAGGAGGTGGAGGAAATGTATGAGGATATTTCCAGAGCCATGCATTCCTCCAAAACCCACTACACGAACCCACTACACGGTGTTGATGGGAGACTTCAACGCAAAACTAGACACAAGAGAAAGCTGTGAGCTGAGGGTGGCGAAATTTGGAGTAGGGCAACGGAACCGAAGGGGCCAGCAGCTGACCGACTTTATGGAGAAAGAGGGACTCTTTATGATGAACTCTTTCTTCCAGAAGCGGCCCCACAGGAAGTGGACCTGGTCGAGCCCCGACGGTTCGACAAAAAATGAGATTGACTTCATTATGACGACCAGACGCCAACTGTTCAGTGATGTCTCAGTGATCGCAAGGGTGAAAACTGGCAGCGATCACCGAATGGTTAGAGGCACACTGAACCTAAATGTTAAGTTGGAGAGGTCTCGTCTAATGAAGTCAACGCTCCGTCCCCCTCGTGCTCTAATCCAGAATCCCGAAACCTTTCAGCTCGAGTTACAAAACCGCTTTCAGTGCCTAGAGGATTGCAATGCAGTGGACGATATGAATGACAAGCTCGTGGAAACTGTCCATGCGGTCGGAGCTAAGTTCTGCAAGACCCGCCGCAGAAGAACACAAAAACTCTCCGATCACACTCTTAATCTCATGGCTGTTAGACGGGAGATGAGGCTGCAATCGTCAACAGATTTGACAGCATACAGGCAACTGAACAGACAGATCTCCAAATGCATGCGGCGAGACTTACGCAACTTTAATACTGCTCGTATTAAAGAAGCGATCGAGCGGAACCAGGGCTCCAAAGTCTTTGCCAGAGATCTGTCTGCCAGAAAGAGCCAACTGTCAAGGCTGAAGACTGAGTGTGGCAACATCGTTTCCGGGACACCTGAGATTCTGAGTGAGATTGAGAGGTTCTATGGGCAGCTGTACACATCATCGTTGGAGCCACACGCAAGTGTGAGTAACGATCCAAGAGCAAGTCTTATCCGACACTATTCCGATGATATCCCGGACGTCAGTCTGAGCGAGATTAGAATGGCTCTCCACCACCTTAAAAACGGCAAGGCCCCGGGCGAGGATGGAATTACAGCGGAGCTTCTGAAAGCGGGTGGAACACCGGTACTTGAAGTCCTTCAGAAGCTCTTCAATTCCGTCCTCCATGGTGGCACTACTCCGGAGGCGTGGAGCAGAAGCGCGGTGGTCTTGTTCTTTAAGAAAGGCGACAACGCTCTCTTGAAGAACTACAGACAGATTTCCCTCCTGAGCCGAGTCTACGTGCTGTTTTCGAGAGTCATTACGAATCGTCTCGCACGCAGACTCGACGACTTCCAACCTCCCGAACAAGCCGGTTTTCGAAAAGGCTTCAGTACCATAGACCACATACATACCCTTCGGCAAATTGTACAGAAGTCCGAAGAGTACAATTTGCCACTTTGCCTGGCGTATGTAGACTATGAGAAAGCCTTTGATTCCGTCGAAATTTGGGCGGTGCTACAGTCTCTTCAGCGGTGCCTAGTTGACTGTCGGTATATTGAAGTGCTGAAGTGTTTGTACAGTAGGGCTACGATGGCTATCCGAGTACAGAACCAGAGTACGAAACCTATCCAACTGCAGAGAGGTGTAAGACAGGGTGATGTTATATCCCCGAAACTCTTCACCGCTGCGTTGGAAGACGTTTTCAAGCTACTGGACTGGAAAGGATACGGTATTAACATCAATGGCGAGTATATCAGTCACCTTCGATTTGCCGACGATATAGTCCTTATGGCAGAATCGCT